CCCGAGTCCGCGGATCTCTCGAAACTTTGGATCGCGTAGCGCTTCGCTCCAACGTTTAACGCGAAAAAGAACGCGAAAGAAGGAGAAAGGAGGAAGACAAAAAAAAGTACGCAAGAGGGAGAAAAAGAGGGAAGGAGGACAGAGAGTGGAGAAGGGTAGAGCGTGAAAAGGACACGGAGAGAAAGAGGAAAAGCAGGGCGGGAGGGGAGGAGGCAGGAGAGGGCGACTGCGAGAGAAGGGGAAGAGAGGAGCGAGGAGACGCGGGGAGGGTGGGAGTCGAGGGGTCATCGGGAAACATAACCTCCGTACGTCTATGCTGTCGGAGTCACACGGCGAACGGGCCTTGATGAATGTTACCATCGCTTTTTTTTTTCCAAAACAAACACGGGAAACGCTCTTACCTCGTTCAACGCGCCGAGGCGCTCTTTCTCTCCTTTATCCGTCTGTCTCTCTCTCTCTCTTGTTCCGTTTGGGATCTCACTGTGACGAGGATGGTGAACGTGTTCGCGTTTTGCCGTACGACGACGTCGACAAGTAATTCTCAAGGGGAAAAGAAGTTAGTAAGGCACTCCTGACAGTCTTTTTCACGATGACGTACGCGCGGCACCTATTCTGTCGCGCGAAGCACAGCGAAGGGCGATCCGCGAGCGAGAACGTATCACGTCGCACTGGTCGCACTGTACCGATCACACTCGCGTGTACGAGAAAGAGAGAGAAAGAGGGAGAGAAGGTACGAGGAACGGAGAACGAGAAAAAAGAAAGAGAGAGAGAGAATGAGAAAAAGGAGAACGAGAGGAGCGAGGAAGAGAGAGCAAGCAGCGGAGCACCTCGCGCCGTGTTGCTCCCGGTGGATGCGGCTGACGACTCACGACGGAGATAAAACGCGACGGGCGAACGAACCCCGGACGCGTATATACGCGTCGCACGCACCTCTTCACCGCACGCGTCACGTTACAACGGCGACGAGTTACAGCTCCGAGCCACGGGCGGTCACGGGTAGCCACAGGCACGGGCCACCTCCGACTCTCCGCTGTTACTCCGGCTGGTGGCACCTCCGCGCACACCACGAGTTCGCGCTCGACCATCTCTCTCTTTCTCTCTTTTTTCCCCTCTCTCCCTCTCCCTCCTTCGTCTCGCTCTCTCGCCGCGCCGCGGACCTTCCGTGTGTGTGGCCCCTCGCGTACCTGCGTCTCTCTCTTTCTCTCTTTCTTCCTTTCCTTCTCCCTCCCTCTCGCTCGCTCCTTCGCGAGTGCGCTCTCCCCGTCTTCTTCTCCACCACCTCTTCTCGACCCCCTCCCCTATCTCTCTCTCTCTCTGTCTTTCTGTCTGTCTCTGTCTCTCTTTCTCTTTCTTTCTCGCGGGTGACCGTGCGCCGCAAAGCCAATGCCGATAGTACAGTACACCGTCGCGCGATGCCGACACCGCCGACGGCCGTTCCTTCCGACGCAACGCGACGCGTTGACGTCGCCTTCGGCCGCTCGCCGGTCGACATGGCGGACGGCTGATTGCGGCGGTTACGAATGGGGTCCCTGCGCTGGAATGTTACCGGTTACGTATGTATCATACGTTCTGCGTAACAGCATCCACGCGTAAAAAATGGAAAGTTTTCGCGATAACGCGCCGTGTCGCACGTTCGCGATAAATTACGCCGTCGTATCGAATCGCGTATATGATAATAAACGATAACGTGCGATTCCGCTGAAAATTGTTACGGCGAATTGTAAAATCCGTTCCGTGGCAAAACGTGGGGAGCTCGCGGCGTTTACCGTAGACGCAAAAAGGAAGCACCGTATCGCGAGATACTTCAATTATTTGATTCTGGGAAATTCTAGATTTGAAAAAGCTTTAGAGCATTCCGCGTTTCATTTTCGAAAGAATTTCTCGTCGAAAAGAGCGGTACATTATAAAGTTGATGATATAAATCAATGTCGTCCAAAATTTGTAATTGTGCACTGAGGAAAAACTAAATAAATTTTAATAAATATTTGCTTGAATAGTTTTAAGTAAATATTTACTAAATGTAAACATGTATTTATTTGATACAAAAACTATTAATTTGTGTGATTTAAGTATCATTTGTTTATTGAGTAAATATTTATATATTATAAGTAAACGTTTACTTAATACTATTGAAAGAAATATCTGTTAAAAAGTAGTAATTTTTTTTCAGTATGGGTTTGACGTGTTTGTGCTTATTTATGTTGCTTTTTCTATCTTCATTAAGGAAAAGGAAGACTATAGAATCGTGAATGCCGATACAAAACAAGTTAATGCTTACAATTACGAATTTTGAATGGTACTGGACACGTATTATTGAATTATTCAGAATGGATTCCGGTCGGAATATTTTGTTTCTCCTAGAAAACACGATAGAAATATAGGGAATAATTAAACAACTCCGATCGGAATTATTCCAAATCCGTTCTGAATAATTTCATAATATATGCCATGATATGAATTACGAGACCTGTTCCTTTTAGCTGAACTTCTTCTGTACGGTTCATCTTTCCTCTTTTTCGTTTAACATTGGAGAAAAAAGAGGAAAGATGAAAACTTCAGCAAGAAGTTCAGCTAAAAAGAACAGTCCTACAAATTTACGATCAAGCGTGGTACTCGGCCGCCAACATTATTCTTCTTCGCTCAAAGTTCAAAGGTCCTCAAATGTAGGTTCGATACAGTCATAATCCGAACGCCGGACTTGTAGCGGAAAACGCATATTAAACAAACGAAAATCGCGTCACGGTTCAATGCTCGAGTTTGACCGGGGTCGCCGCGCGACATGCTTCCTCAAGCCACGATCGGCTTTTCGACTCGCATGAATTGATTCCGCGTCGAATTTATCGATAAAGAAAAAAGTTTAGAATGGATGATGATCCTCGTGATGCGATCCTTTAATTTCTTGACTTTCTCCTTATTTTTTTCGAAAATACGAAAATTGAATGAGAGATTCTTGTCAATTTGATATTATAATACTCTAATTCTGTTCATGTTTGCGTTTTAAAACTGAAAAAGATTTCTGGTTTGCAAAATTAAATGTTCATATAAATTCACATAAATATTTAAGCACTGAGATCCACTTTGACCGAAATTAACATTTCTCTTACTTAATTGGAAAATATGAAAATTAGACGCAGTACATTGCGACGATCCCAAGAGAAAAAAAGATATATTTTTGTGTTTCTCTCATAAAGGACTCCGCACTAATTGTATGGAAAATTGAATCTCGGAGATTACGGTGAAATGAGTTAATTTTCATATATTCTGCGCTTTCCTTTTAGGAGACACAAGTGTCCTCTTATCTTTATTATTCATTGAATGCAAAAAAGAATAGGACGTTTGTGTCTCCTAAAACATACTTGTTATGTAGCTTATGTGATGAACAAAAAATGTTTGTTATAGACGCAAGATTCAATAGATAATTTTTAAATTATAGTGTATCAAAGATAAACAACTTATACTCCTTTAATACACCATATATAGCTCAAAAACTATCCATTATTAATCTTTGTGTCTATAACACCTTTTATTTTTCACATTATAAGTTCATTATATGAAAAACTAACTCACCGGGACTCCATTTTCCGGTAAATTAGTAAGGAGTTCTTTAATTTTTCAGAAAATTTATGCTATCGTGGACTTTGATACAATACAATAAAATGCGATATATATATATATATATATATTGTATATATCGTTCAAAATAAATAACTTACATTATCATTATCGAATCTAGATGTAACAATACATTCGATTTAACAAATTACACAAAGTGTAATTTTGTGAAATTTATTTAAGAAGCAATGATTCATTCAACTGACACAACAGTATAGACATATATTTATACAATATACGTAAAACAATCAAATTAATTTGTCGAACAACGAATAAATACAATCTTAAAATTCTAGATTAAATAATGTTCGAAAATGGATAGAGAAGGCGCGAGAAGTATTGAAAAAATACTGCTTATCATTTTCGGTGGAAATGCAACGGTAACATATATACTTTATTCGTTACTTTATATTATATACACATGACGCGTAAACATCGACACTCATGTCAGAATAATATATTATATCTCTTATTGGATAAAAATAAGTCCGGATATGCGACGTAATCTGACGGTCTTCATCATCGATCAACCGTGCACAATCATCTCCGACAACATTCTTCGCGTGCCTCTTCTTTAGAAGAAACGCGTGATTCATCGGGCTAACGCGCATCCGAAAAATGCCCCTTTTTTTACATATCAAGTGCATGTTCAGTTTCCAGGTCGAGTCGTTAGAAATATTTTTGGCCATTACGGTCATGAGCCTAAATCCTATTGTTTAAAATTGGTTTTAAAATAATAAGAAACTACGATATACAACGTGTCACTTAGAATTCAGAAGTAAATAGTATTTGAAATTCGTCGTTATATCACACCACGACGCCATTAAGTCCTTAATTACGGACGACGCGAAATGACATCGATTTAATTTAATACAGAGAATCAATATTTTTTGCGAGATATTTCCGCGAATTCGGAGACTTGTTTTGTATCATACTTACTATATCGAAAAAAAAAATTAAAAGAAAACGATTAACGAGATAAGAGGATCACTATAGAACGCGAATTTATTATCGAAATATTCGCAATTGTCTTTCTTAAAAAAATTTAGATTTTAAACATTTTTTTTGTATGTATTACATAAACTTAGAACAAATAGAAAACATCACATGTACTACAACAAAGTGTTATTAAAATAACAATAGCAGAATATCTAAATAAAGACATAAAGAAACGAAGAGAAAAATAATAATTATGTCACAGACTTCTCTGTAATTAAGACACTAATATGTCCTCGTCAAAATCTATCCAAACAATAACTTGTATGCGCGGTCGCACTTACAATCAAGATATAGAGCAGCACGACACACGCTAATAGCATAACAATGACAAAAATTTCCATGTGTTCTCTCGTACGAGGACGAGAAATCAGGTACGTGCGGTCGGTTTCTTTTTTTTTTTATGTAATCGATCCTGTTAAGATCACAATTAATGCAATCGATTGCCAAGCGTCAAGAAACTACGGTGTCTATTTTTTACATGGCGATGGCAAATTCGTGGTCGGTGTGGGTGTAGGACTGCTGCTGCAGGACCTGCTGTGTACACGTTGAGGTTCGACGCTCAGGAAGGTTCTGTCGGAGGTCGGTGGTGCGGAAACGATTTCCGGCTCCGCGGGACTCGGACATCTCCTCTGACTGCAGTTGGACGCCGTGCTTCTCGACAGCGTCTGCAGTGGTATCCGGTAGATCCTTATCGGCTTCCAATCACCTTGACTGTCTGCGAAAGGAAGATTCCCCAAGATTTGGGGAGGGTGACCTCAATACGTTTGTCAAGCGTTCAGAGATAGCGATCGGATCGATGAGGATTTCGAGGTTTAACAGAGGCATTAAAGACCACGTACTCTGAACACTCGATCGAGAGGAGGACGAAGACTGTGCGGTCAGTGGTGGACTGCAAGGCATTTCCTCCTTCTCGAGAGGTTTCGAGTCCAATCGGATTCGCTCACATTTTCCTGGAAAAAATTCCGGCGCCGTGGTTGCGAAGAAGATGTCTCGTTTCGAGGTGATCAAATTGAGACTGGGCATGGCGATCGTGTGAACCAGGTTGCCGTTTATTATCAATCGAATCTCCATCGTGTCGTTAGTGAAGGCAATCACGTATGGAAAGGCACAGGCTGTTATAAACAAATGTAACATCTGTTAAAAAAAACCTACGTCGATATCTGCTGTTTCAGTAATGAAAGAATAGTGTTATTGTGATTATATTATATATGACACTTTTGTTAAAAATTTTTTAATTATCTCACCTACGACTGTCGGCATCGAATTCCAATTAAAATCGAATTCGGTTGGCGCAGTACTCTCTTCCGCCAGCTTTTGAAAATGACATGTATCTAAGGAAAGAAATGAATATCGATAGGCATCTATAACATACACTATATTAGATCCCTTTTAACTCTCAAACTGAAACATCAGAAAAGATAATTAACGCTAGAACTATAAAAACAATCAAAATGACTATTGTATTTTTTAAAATCAAATTTACAATGAATTTCTAAGAGCTCTCGTAATTTCTGTTGCAATATGTAAAAGATTAAATTGATATTATTCAAAAATATATACATATACATATTTATATAAAAGGTTGAAGAGAAGGAAGTAAATTGATCAATTTAATCCTTTACGTATTTAAAAGAAATTGGAAAGAATAAGGGTAATAGGAGTTAGGCGCAGAAGACATCGCGCAAATAATACACCCATAAAGCGTAAAACTTCTTTATTCTACTAGTTTTACGCTTTATGGGTATATTATTTACGCGACGTCTTCTGCGCCTAATTCCTATTGCCCTTATTTTTTCCAATTTCTTTTGATTTATAAAGAGTCTTTGTTAGGTTGATTTGTTATACGGATTTATATATTTATATAATATATTTCTAAATAGTAGAAACTGCAAATATATATGTTGTCAGTTCTAGTGTTAAAAATAAATGTTTTCTGAAATCTCTTAATGTACTTCTTGCAAACCAGTTATGTGTGAATCATCATTGAACTTGAGAGGCCGATGTCTCGGATTAAGTATTAAAATGGAACGTGACCTACTGTTGTAACAAAGTAACAGTTCCGGCTCCTCGTCCTCGCGAAGATCCAACGCCGCTACCAAGTGTGGCTTAGGCGTCGCTTCCATGTGGACTATCCTCGAAGTACCGGAAGCGGAGATCAATTCGAAGTGATGACGGGCACCGCAACACAGTGTCCATTCGTTCGCTGGATCGACGCTCTCGATCATCGTTACTAATGAGGGTGTCTCGCTCGCGGTAAATTCCTTCACTAGTAGAAAACCGTCGATGGTGTCGGTATCAGCTGACGAGCACCAGATGGTCCAGGCTGCATTGTGCTTCCACTGAAGGACCGTGAGTCGGCGACCGACGACTACGCACTATTTCGTACCACAATCATAATCTTGTTTCACAATTTAAAATATAATAAAATAGGATAAAAAGAAAAATAGGAGACATTTAAGTGTCGCATGAGGAAATCGTGATTGATAAATTGCACATTGTCGGATTTTAATTTTCTATCAATTGCATGACTTACAAGGGAAGTTTCACAACTGTTCGGAACCGATTTGATTCTCCATGAAATATGTTGTTAAACACGAAAATCTAAGAGACACGTATTTTTTTATACCTGCCTTTTTTGTTTAATAATTGTTTCACAACATTGAAGTACTCTCGAAACCATACAACTTTTGTTTAAAAAATTTTTTTCTATCTTTTATACTTTCGACGATATTCGCCTCGAAAGAAAAATACCGTTTTTTTTTTTCAAAAGGGTGTTTCACATCTTAAATATAAGTTAGCGCACGTATAAAAAAATACGTGTCTTTTAGATTTTCGTGTTTAACAACATATTTCATGAAGAATCAAATCGGTCCCGGACAGTTGTGAAACTACCCTTGTCAGTCTTCTTACCATACGTAAATGCGATCCTCCGGGTCTCGTGATGCTGTACAATTGACATCCCCGTGTACGCCGCAGCTTTCTCTCCTTGATATGCGCTCGGCTTCGAACGGCCGGGGCGCGAACGCGCATCCGCGCTCGCGGACGTCCTACCGGTTGAAACTTGGCGGTGGCACGTGTGAAATTGTCACACTCGGCGTCGTCCTCGTCGCAATCATCATCGTCATCCTCGACGTCCTCGTCGTCATCTTCTTCCTCCTTCTCCCGATCGTCATTCTCGCGATCGTTGAACAGCTCGGCGCATCTCACGGAAGCATCGCTTTCAAACTCTCGCAGCCGGAAAACGTAGACGCTACTCTCCTTACCTTTATCGCCAGCACGGAATAAGAGTATACCGTGCTGCTCGATCACATCCAGTTGCTTAATCTGCACTGATTCATCGAAGAGCAATCTGTGCGAAACCCCATCTGGAAAGAAAATCGATAAGGGATTTAATTGAAAATTTCTGATAACAGCTTCTGTTGCAATAATTTGTAATTTGATTCCTGAATAAATTACTAATTGTCCCACTGAGAGGAAAGTGTTTGATACTTATAACTATAATTAAATGGTAAAATAATTATGGAATGAAATATTAGGTACTCCATTTTTATAGTTACTACTGCTAAATGTTAATAATAATAATTATATTTATTATATAATATAATTACATTTATAATTTTATATATGTACAAAAAAATATGTATCCAATAATTGGTATCGAAAATGTTATATTCTAATGTTAATAATGTTAGTTATCTAATAATGACCATGAATGAAGATAAAAAATGAAGTTTCTGATCAATTTTATTATTTTACTATACAATATTATTTTACTATACAATTATAGTCACAGATACCAAATACTTTTCTCTCAGTGCGCTTTTAATACGTTACATTGTATTTAATCGTTATTTGATACAACTTTTCGATTATTCGACCGAGAGAAAATTGTGTCTCTCGGATAATCAAAATTGTGTTAGATCTCAAACAATTAGATTTCGAGATAATATCTACGTCGTATAGGATTACCTTCGATGAGAAACGTCCCATTCTCCGAGGCGAGGATCAGCCTGTTCTCCAGCCAGACATCACCGCAAACGACCTCGTAAGGAAAGTCGGGATAGATGCATCTTGGTTCCCATGGCCTGGGCTTCAAAGGGCCGACAGTGGCGAGAGAGGTGGGTGCGAGGCCACGCATGATAGCTTCCAATTTCAAGGCTTGTCCGACTCGCACCATTTCGACAGCGCGTGTCTCTTCTCGCCGTCGACCCGGTGTCTCCACGACATCCGAAAGTGCTCGGCGATTTAACATGCTCTGTAACGAAATTATATTAAGTTGATTATTTTCTTTAACATATCCTTTTCGCTTTGATTATATACTTAGGTAGGCATTATTTCTTCTTACAACTTTTGAAAAGAGATATCATTTATAAATATTGTGTTTTAATATTATATTATTTTTTAAATATTAAATATTGATATTATAATAATATTATTGCGCATTATTCCCTTACAGAAATTTAACAGTAGCCAATTTAATACTGAAAGACAGTAATTAATTATTTATTTGGAGTATTAAACCATTGAACAACTTTTAATACTTAAAATAAATAATTAATTACTGTCTTTCAGTATTAAATTGGCCAGTATTAAATTTTCGTAAGGGTTACGGTTTATCGAGATTATTGTAAGTAAAAATTAATGGAACGCAGAGGAAATACAAACGAGAATAAGTGCCAGTCCGTGTAAAGTAGCTTACGTTGCTCTTGCTGTCTTGCGAATGCTCCTGGTACATGTCTCGCAACAGGGCGTCGAGAGTTCTTTCCCTCTTTCTAGAGAATGTCGGCGTGTCAAAAGTAGCTTTCTCGCCATTGATCAATTTAACAAGGAGAAATTCGCGGAGATTATACGGGTCCTCGAAAACTGGTGGACAGGGAAGGCTCGGTCCGAACAGGGGTACGTTCTCGTCGCAATAAATAGCGACCCGCCAACCCTTGCCATCCGCCTCGGTCGTCACCACGGCAAACACGTCTAAGTAATTGGAAATGAACTATATTTATTTAATGACCTTTTTTTTTATTTTATTTTAACTCAATAATATAGTTACATAACTTTTATATTAGCAGTTATTTTACTCTATTTTTTTTTCAATTAATTTGTAATTGATAATTAAAATAAACGACGATGGAAAAATAATTTTAAAGGAAATATCTAAAATTATATTTTTATTATAATCGGCGATACATAATGTAAGTAGGCCAAGTGCGTGATATAACGTGTTAAAGTTTAAAAGAACGTGAACAAAATCTGTAGGCGTAATAAAAAGGCACAAGGAGATTGAGAATCACTACGTTACATCTTATTTTAACTCGAATGCTCTTTATGTAAACAACAATAGGCGAGGTTCAGTTCGATATATTGTTCGTGACCTTATCATGATATTTTTCTTAACTTACGGGTAAACTGGCTTCTTATACAGTTCGGATTGAAAGTATCTACGGCTGATGGATCGTCCGTGTAAATGATGTTAACAATATCGTTACCAATGTGTCTTTTCCTTTCGAGTTGCTGCGGATTGTCCTTTGAATACGGTAGCATCGTACTAACATGATACATAACTTCGTGACCTGCATATACCGTGTAATAACTTTCCTTTCCCGTCATATCTCCTGAAAAATGACAGAACGTGCGAGTGGGGTCGTGGACATAAGAAAAAGATTTCCTTTGGGTTAGTACGAGTTTATTCAAGCCGTGGATATAGTACATAAAACCAAAGAAACTACAAAAAATTTGTTGAAAAATTTGTTCAATCGATAATGTGTTTATCAATATTTTAATATATTTTCTGTAAATGTATTATTACAGTTAGTCATAAAAAAAATATGGTAATGAAAAATAATCAAACGATTCGTTAGTTGAAAGAATTGGAGAAAGGGCAGAACATTTTCAAATCCTGCCAATGTAACAATCTGAAGAGACGAATGACGATTGCAGACCTTTTCTGATTGTAGATCTCGAGTTTGCACTGCCAATATTCATGTCATCAACGTACCTTTCACATCCAAGCCGCCTCTATATTTGTCCCAACCTTTGAGCCGTATCCTCTCACCCAGGATCTCCAGGAAGCTCTCGAAACCCGGGCTACCTCTTTCTACGAGCAATGAGAAACGTACCTCAGGGATCAATAGTACATCTATTATCACTTAATTTCCCACCCCATCTACGACTTGTCTTTTGTTCTCAGCGCACTTCCGGGCTTACCGTTAGACAACATCTCGTCGTCGGTGATCTGACCCTCTCTCGCGTAGATTATACCAAACTTAAAGTTTACCGAGCCTTCTTGTTCCTCCAATAGTAATAGATCCTGCCAAGGATCATTGAATTAATCTATACCTCCTTTACAACGCCATTCTTGAGTGTGAAATGGTATGAGATCTTTGTAAACGTACCTTTTGCAATTCGGGTGTGAAAACTTCACGAGGCGCTTTGTCGAGTTTTTCCAGACTGAAGAAGTTGCTGGAACGTCGTTAATAATAGATTACAATCGTGTTTCTTTTAGTTTGTGGACGTAGAGATAGTTACCTGAGAATTTGTCTGATAGTCATTGTTTTGTTCGCCGAATACGGCAACGATATTTTCTGCGCGCCCTACATAAAACATTTCTTAATTTATCATGATTAATTTTGTATTCGGAAATAATAATTTTATTCTTCGAGGTACAAGTCTACCAAAGGATCGGTATCAAATATATTACAATAAAAGTGGGGGTTGAGTTAAATAAAATTTTATATTCGCATGTCATGTGCAAAGTAAATTGGGTATTACAAAGAGATATATAGATATCGATTTAACATATGTACCTATAAATGTTTTGTTTGTAAAATGAATTGAAGCTGAGTTTAATGTAAGGAAACTTTCCAAATGTCTGACATATATGAGAAAAAAAAAAGAAAAAGAAAGGAAAAGTTAGGAACGTAAATAATTTCATGAATTTGTCTCTGGAGGGATCTTCCCTACTAAATAATACATTATGTACTCACAGTTCGCCTCCATAGAATAACTCTATAGTGTGGTACGCATTGATCACCGACTTCGCTCGTGACTACCGAGAGGAAGAGAGGATTTCTCTCCTGATCAGAAGCGATATAATTTTGATGCACTGTGCATAAATAAAATTAATAGCTTTTTTTTATTTGATTTCCTTGACTGTATTAAATCGTCTATCGTAAGTAACTCTTGTAGTAATTCTTACATCTACGAGCTACTATAAAAAATACAAAATATAATATTCTATGCATAATTTTTCATTAAACGTAACAATGATTAATTTGGTCGAGTGAATAAATAATGTAAACCGATTTACATAAATGGGACGCTGATAAAATGTTCCATAATATTTCCTCAATATTATGTATAAAAAGAAAATATGATTAAAAAAATTAGGATGCCTATATAAGCAGAAATATTTTAAACAAAATAATGCATTATTACATATGATTATTCTAATTGCAATGATATTATTGTGTTACAGATATACTTCAACTTACGTTTGCCTAAGAAGTATTTAAAGTACCAACGCGTTTGGTACTCTGGATTTTCTAATATCGGCGTACTCGGCGAACCGAACATCTGTTAATGTAAAAATCGTTCATCGTTACAAACATAATCCGTGGCAGAAAGTGGGATACGATGAAAGAGTGAAATGAGGTAAGAACGAGCAATTACGCGAAACGGGACGAATCTCTCGAGTGGTGAAAAAAGAACTTGATCGTTTGATCATTAAGCAACGCTTCCTCACCTCTTCTTTTTCCCCGAGAGAATCTCCGTTCTCCACTCGGAATCTTCTGCCATTGTCAGCACCGTCCTGCTCGATCTGCGGCAGCTAGAAAGACATTTTTGAGCGTCGCAATTACCAAATACATACGTAACATGAAATATCCGCGTGAATCAACATGCTCCAGTTTCAAATTTACGAATTGTAATTCGTTTCAAACATTCGAATGAAATGGTAAAATCGAATCCGGGTCTTAAATCTTTTCATGTAGACTTTATACAAATAATCTATTTCGAGAACTCGATTTCATTTCTACGAAATTCAGCATAATCAAATTCTATTGAAAAATATTTACTTTTTTTCTTTTTTTTCTCGTTTTATAAACCATTCCTAAAAAAATTTAGAAGCTTTCCATCCAGTGATTGAAAGTCGCAAGGATCGCGACGGAATTGAAAGTAGACCGAACGAAACATACGTTTCTAAGAAATAGAAAAGTTGGAAAATTAAATATAAAATTCAAATCCCCCCTTGAAAGAAAATTTTATGAAATAATTTATTATTAATTCAAAGTAATATGCTTTTCACCCACGGATTTATCAAAGATGTATATTACATTTTTGATTGAAATTCTATTTAACAGACTTAATGATTTAAAAAAATTTTTCTTTTGTATTTTCCGATAAAACTATGTCGCGTCTGAATATATTGTGACGTCGTATATTAACACGAACCAAGCACTGCCCGGGTGCACCTTCGACGAACTATACGATAAGCAAATCAATAGATAAACAGCAAGATAGAAGGAAACAATATAATCAGCTTACTGGACGTGTCATGAATTATCATAGGGCTTTCGTCCGTTTTATCGGAGTGATTAGCGTTTACCTTGCACAAGTACTTGTGCATACGGCTAAGACCCTTGTAATAAGTAGAGCGAGGCTCTTACCTAGATATGTTATATGTATCTACTTTTCATTGTTTCCTTACCATTTCGACACTGCCGTAACATCGTCTCGACAGGACGCCTCGCCTCGCTATTGCATCCGTAGTGGATCTGAAACATGGTATAAAAAATGTTTAGATTTAACCCGAGCTTACCACGAGGATATATTTTTCTTGAGAGATTTTTCACAAGACACTTAATTAAAGTAGTTTACTCGTTCATATTCGCCAGAGACGTAGTACGTGTTCTATAAATACGTTTGATTTTCTACATGGTTTTTTTTACGAAGTGATTCGCACTGTTCAGAAACAAATGACTTCACTGCGCGTAAACGTTTTTTGTAGCTTTTTTTTACTACATGTGTACGCATTCTCATGGAAGCGTTCGCACCAGGAAAGACACGCCTCGTCCGCCGTGGTGAATGGCATTCTCGACTAAGAACACGTATGTTTTTTTCTAACAGCTTTATCGTGTCTTTTTGACGGTGCTTCTAACACGTCGTTTGCTATTTGAAAATTATGTGGATTAAAAAAACTGTTGAAATGTTTCTCGAATTATTTATCTCACTCCGAAATGAATCCAGCGTTACGAATCAATTTCTGTACTCATAGAATGATCCGCAATTTTGCCTTTAATTTTAACGACAGCGACTAATTTTTTATTCAATCTAGACTCTGGCTTTCTTTAACTAAAATATTATTATGACATAGATAAAAATCGTTGCTTATTTTAAGTCCAATAATTTTTTCTATAATTTTAATTTAAGAATAGAATTTAATTACCGAGATGTTTAATATTGAATGTTGAGAAGTTGAAGCAAAAGCATGATGTATGATATTTTCCTAGAAATTTTCCTAAAAAGCATTAATTACATTGGGCAAATAATCTATCATATTAAACGGTTATGAAACCACGTTCCTCGATATTCTCTCTCGCACGGAAGATTAAACGGTAAAATGCTATTGGCAGGATAATTATCATTGATTCACTAAATGTATCTCGATCAAATACAATCATCCCCCGGTGAGCGAATATACGTATCTACTTCGTAGTGTGAACGTAATATACGATGGCACCCTTCGTCCGCCGGCTCAATCCCTCTCTCGCGCTTCTCATTTTTCACGACATGAATATCTAGGTTAACGAGAAGCTACGTCGAGGTCGAATTGGCCGGGTAATCGGGAGAGGCCGTTACATGAAAGAGACAAAGAGAAACGGTTACTGTTCAAGATTCGGGATTCGCATGGGTCGCGAGTTTCGCACAGCATTGCCCGTTAGATTGTCGTTTCAGTGACAAGGTTTTATTGGTTTCTGAGTGAAGCAAATAGAAAAAGATCAAGCAACAAGCAGCGAATTACTCTTTTTTTCAATAAAAGGTAATAAAAAAAAGTCAGCCAGTAAATTGGTACGGTATTTCATGCGACAAATAGGAAGATAAGTCGAACAGCGAGAGAATAACAAATTACTTGCTCATCCTTTTCGAGGAAAAATGGGAATATAATCAAGAGACTAAATCAGCAACTTGTTACTTGACTCGCAATTTTGCTTCACGTGACATGGCCGTTAGAACAGAAGATCACGCATTAAAGTTAACGTACACATGACTGGCTCGTCGATGTAACTGCCTAAGTTGCGAGGACGGCATGAGCGCTGCCACGCATACCGATCTGGATCTGTTCCTGCGTATCATCTCCTGGATGCTCGAACTAGGTCGCAACGATTCCTCTTCGCTGTCGCTGGTCGTGGTCGAGCTGGCGACCTCGCCACTCTCGTGGCGTTTCACTTTGCGGGACTTGCTTTTCTCCGTGGAGCTCGTCGAGGATGACGAAGCTGAGGCCGTCGTCGGGTGCGTTGATGACGCGGTTGACGAGGCAGTTCCGGAGGAGACACCCCGCAGTCGCGAAACGAGTTTGATATCCAAGCATAGCATTTTCGCCGATTTTTTTTTAAATTGCCTGGCGATGTCTCTACGTATTATGTACAATTTAACAGTATGACTATGCACAACTACGCGGTTTTATTTCACATATAGCATGCGCCACTAGGAGACTGGCTTGGTATGTTCCCCTTTTGGTAGCATCATCATCATCATCATCATAATGTCGTTGAACAGCCGGCGAATGTCGGCACCCGCATCGTTGTGCGACTTGTGCAAACCAAATTGCCGCACGTTGCAACGCGGTGAGGGTCGGTCGGAAGGAACTGCAGGTGTCGTGAGATTATTTGACGAATCTCGACTACGCGGCGTGGCTCGTTGTTTTTGGATACCGTTATGCGCCGCGGCTGATGCTTTACATCTCTCAGCGTAGTTGAGGAATACCAATTACCGCGAACGCCTCTTGAGCTGTGTGGTAATTTGAATTCTCTCTCTCTCTCTCTTAACGTTCGGGTCGATCGCCGATGTTGGGCGATGTCGAATAGGAGATCATCGATATACACAGAACGGGAGGAACGAAGTGCGATCTAACGTGGCTTATACGCGTGTACGTTATTTATGTGCCACTTCTGTGATCTTTTAAATGCTTCGATAATGTAATGCTAGATGCACTTAATGTTGTACAATAAATGATAAATACTACTCGCAATTTGCAAATAGTTGTCGCACACACCTGTGGAAATAATTATATGTCACCGCAGATAATTGTATGTATATTGCAATATCAAAAAGTCTAATAGATATGACAGCAAATGACAAAGTCTTTTTTAAGGTATATACATATATAACGGTTTTTTAAAATGAAATAAAAAGTTCGAAAAACTATTTTCGATTATAACTCTAAATGAAATAAGTAGCTCTCATAAAAATATATTTTTTTAATTATATATTATTTTATTGTTATTCTTTATTCTCTAATAAAACAAAGCATTTTAATCATTAATTCAAAGTTTTTCAATTAAACTCTATCTATTTTGATTAATTACGGAGCGGTGTAAATTAGTGCACGGAAAGAACGGTTTTTCTGAAGTATCTAAAAATTTTTAGTTAACACAGATCTAAAATTTTATTGGACTATCAAAATAATTATGTAGGACGTTTAGGCTGGTTGCCAGAATGTTAAAATTTTTTGCAGCACTACTCATCATGCTTGAGCTTTTTATATAATTATTTTGATGGTTTAACCAAATTATTTTTAAATCTATATTTAGTTTTAGATATAATTCAGCACAATCGTTTTTTCCGTATATAATTTTCATTTAATACAATATTAATCTAATATTTATACACGCTAATATAATAAAAAATCCGCTAATTAATAACACTATTCAGTTTTACACGTTTGTTTTTAATATTTAAAGATAGTTTTTTCTGTACAAGAGCATTAATGAAAGATTAATAAACCTACGTATATGGATATATTTTTATCGGATAAGACGATACTAATGAAAAATTTCCACATTCTTTGATTAAACAAATTTAATCAAAAACCAAACGCGTAGGACTGTCCCGTATTAAGAATATTCTCAGGATAATGACATTCTTGTGGCTTCTTTCGAACTTGAAGATCCTTTTTTTGCGAACACAGCAGAAAAGCATGATACATACGACGCGACTTTTACTTAAAGTTTTTACTTGGAATGCAAAAGATGAATTCAACAACTCCGAAATTTAATTAAAATTCCACTAAAAGAATCGAATTCAAAATAACAAGATAAAATAAAGATTGAGATGTATTAGCGTTTCTTAAAAATTCAAACAGGGGTGTTGAACGCTAATATGATATTAACAAGAAAGATTTGCACTGAAAATGTAAGAGAATGAAGCGCCTACGCTAAGAATAGCACAAATGGCTAGATCTAATGAATGAATAACTGAATTGAGTTCATGGATAGATGACTCTACGCGCGCACGGTCGTTCGTCTCATAGATACTTTATCGAACATCGGGCGAAGACATCGATACTATTGAAACGACCTTTTACCTTGCCGAAGCTTCCAATATCCGCGATATCAGAGGCCTTCGAGATAAGCGATGCGTGTCAAAGATACGCCGATACGTATTCACGTAGGTCTTATTATTTGTAAATTCATAATGTCAAATTATACCCAATTTGAATTATTTTTAATCATTTCTATAGGTCGCCACTACTGCGACTCAGTATATCGTTAATTTAACTAAAACAATAGACTGTTAGATATTAAAATAGCAATGGTAACCCAATCTCTTGAGTTAAATAACATTCTGTTTTTTTTCCATGTGTGTAAATTAATCCATTTTTTGTGGTTAGTTTCAAAGCAAAACATGTCCATGTACGCACTTAATAATAAACTCAAATTTAATACATTTTCTCGAATTAAATTGTTTTCGGCAAAAATTTTTTAATTCGAATTTTCGTCGCACATCAGAGATGAATCATCGATTTAAAGATATGGTGTTTTATGGCCATTTCTACCAATTTAGATTGACTTTTATCTTAGTTTAATTTACTTTTTTTTTAATCTTAGAACTAGAAAGTAAGTTAAACTAATGCTTTGTTAAATTCATAATGTCAAATATCCAATTTGTATCACTTTTAATTATTTTCATAGGTCACTACTGCTTCTACTCAAATGTTAATTTAACTAAAATAACGAAGTTAAACAGTTTAACTCGAAAAATGTATTAAGCTTGATTCAAATTTAGTTTACTATTTCCTAAATACGTTAATGTACGTTAATATACGTTGTTTATTTTGGAGCTAACTACGAGCAAAAATGGATTGATATACATTTTTATACACACAGAAATAAAAAATAATAAAATATTATTTTACTCAAGAGATTGGGTTACCATTACTACTTAGATATCTAACAACCCTACCTTTAACAAACAATGACATGGATTTCCCTCTATCAATTTTTCGATCCTATCGAAGAGTCGTTCGGGTGGACAATTCGTACGGCCGACATTTCACATTTGTATTCGAATGATTCACCATATCGATAATAACGAAAAATGGCCGGTATCGATTCTTTTTCTTTGATCTCGCGATCCTGTGAATCGAAAATCTCCAGTTGAGGGACAACGTCCAACGTTGTCGGACGGATATGGCGATTCGATAACCGAGCATGTGAAGTGTACTGTTGTATAGATAGACAAGACATGTAGAAGTTACGCTAACACGATGCATTCCGTAAATTCTACGAACAAGTATCGGATCGTGAAATATTCGCTGTAGGAAATATCTAAGGTGTCCAATACGCGCTTTCTTTATTCTTACATCGAATCGCAAATTTTTCTAGAAAATCTACAAGCGAGCTTTTGGGAAAAAGTGTATAAGTCATCCTCTAAATTAAATCAAGATTTGTTTAGGAACCGATTTGCAAGCTCAGCGGAAAATCTTTTATCGTACGTAAATAGTGAAAACATATAAGAGTGATATCGAGCTTCTATTCTTTTTAACAGCGATTCCATAGAGATTTGAGATTTTACGAGATCCTTGTCACCATACTAGATATACGTATAAGAATAAGATAAGGTTCGCTGTGTCACGTTCTCGAACACTCTAATCAGCCCTCTTTCGCTCCAGAGTGCAAAAGGATCAAGTAAAGCGTTTCACGATTCTCAAAACGAATCAGAAGTTTCTTCAAAAACAACCTCGCTATTCAAGCCTCGGCCTTCTCTAACACCAACTTTCTATGAACTTAACTTTCCTCCTTCTTCTAAGAAAGAGCTACAAGATAAAAACTTCACTTCGTAAAACACTTAGCTTAATTATAGCTTAACCTTTCTCAGAATAATTTACTACATTAGTATGACATTAAATTATGATTAATGTCACCCAGTCATTTCTTGAATAAGTTACTTTTGAAATATTTCTCTATTTTCTTCAAAAGTTATATTTTGAAGTTGTCTTCTGAACAAAGTTAACCGAACATGTAAATTTTGTTATTCAAGAAATCTTAATAAAAGATTTATTTGCTAAGTAAAAAGATCCTATCGATACTTCACTCTGTGATACGCGTGATACTTCACGCGTCGATGTCGTTGACAGATGCTTCTCTTTTTTTTATTTTGCAGTCATCATTGAATTATTACCATTATTTTAAATAGTATTTTAAATAGCAAGCCGATTAAATATTGAACATTTAGTCATTAAAAATCATACGATTCCGAGACCATGTCATACTTTGAAAGAGAATTGCATGACAATGTCATTGTAAGTCTATAGTTAACTTCATTACGAATTACTGCCATGTACATACAATAATTGTGACAAGTTATATCTATTTAAAGATGAGATTGCAAAGATTTAGATTTAGCATGTCACATGCAGTCGCTAATTTTCTTATTAAGTCTCTGCGACACTGGAAATACAATGGACTGCTTGGTCGGTCCGGACGCGAAGAATACCACTTGCGGAACTCGACGGCACTGAACGTACTCCCTCGCGTCTTGGGTCTGCAACCCCTACTGGCCGTATTGCCGCCGCCGTTGCCGCCGCCGCCGTCCCGTGGCAAACCTTTACAACCCGGCGCGTAGCGCAGCAGCCCCCGCGAGATAGTGGCAAGTTCCTCGCAGTGACATGGCGACTCGACGACTGGCGCCGCGTCGACGAGTTCGTCGGTCCCCACGTCCACCTCCGTCTCTTCCTCCCCTGTCTCCTTCTATTTGTCGTCTTCCACTGTCTCCTTCTCCTCTGTTACTATCCCTCCCCCTCATCCACCTCCTTCTCCTCTTCCTCACCTCTCGTTCATTTATCTATTTGTTCCTCCATGTATGTACGTACGCGTACGGAGTCCGAGTGCCTTATCGCGGCACCGTGACGTATGTCGCCGTTACTCGTACCCGGCATAGCATATCGATGCGCGACCCTTCGCCACGATTCGGTAGGGACAGTGTCGGTACGGTGACCTGTATTCTCGCCGGCACCAGGTCGACGCGGCGCTCCTTCAATCTCCGTCGTTGTCCTGGCGACACCTCCCCCACCCCTCTCTCTCACACCACCATCAAATTTTGGCACCCAAACGCCGTTCGAACGGGGTGGGATTAGGGCGCGACTGTGCGTACCGGCGAATTAGCACAGCCCGAACGTTAATCAGATTCTCTTGCCGCCATCGGGGACGTCCTCGTGAAATGTAAATAGCCAGAGAATTAACTTGGATTGTTTTACATGAGATGATGCGATAAATCCTACGCGGCGTTTCATACACAGGGAATGTTTGAGAATTCTTGCTAAAATCATGGAAAAGTACCCCCTTTTTTCATGAACCCGAAATAATTCGAAAATTTTATGACAGAACTGTTTAACGTAGCAAGTAAAACGGTATTGTTAATTTTAAAGGTTTGAATTAATAAGAGAAAACTTTTTCCCCTTTTAATTGGAATGAATATTACTTTGATAGAGTTTTAATTTGAAACGTTTTACATTAAATTGTGTATACACCATTAAATTCGTAATGTCAA